TCTGTAACCTGCATAGTGTGGGTGGCAGGTGTAACCCCCTGACAGGTCTCTTATTTTTCAAAGTTAACAAAGATGGCACTAGAATTTGTGACCTTAGGAAGGAGTGGCAAGTCAGTTATCCTGGTAATAACTGAATCATTACTGTATGTGTGTGTGTGTGTTCACAAAAGATAATGTAAAAAGGTTGGGCAGTAGTTTCTAAACAATCCTGTTCGTCAGAAGGTTATTATACCACCTTTGGGTTTGGGAGCTCGTAATCCTGGGTGGTAGTTCACCAGTCAGTGTTTAATACGGTTATCACCGTTTTCCTGGGAATTGTTGTTTTCTTGAATTTTGGGTAGTTTGGTGACTTCGTGTTACTACATTGGTCTCTTTTTAAACACTAGAGTTTCACAGGTGATTTACTCAAAGTGCTTTTTATTTAGGACTTGCCCAACACAATTCACATCGGTGGGAGGATCGCACCGAAGATGGTTTGGGATTATGTTGGTGAACTCAAGTCTTCTGTGTCTAAGGTACCCGCTTACAGTATAGTCTCTGTGACAACGGAACATAGAGCTTATTTGAACATGTTTTTTAACCTTTCATTTTGATGGTTAACGCTTGAAATGTCAGCCTGCAACTTACTAGATACTTTCAGGTGAATGTTAAAATAAGTTTTATGTAGTTACATTCTTGTGTGATGGTGTGTTTGAGAAATACAGTGATAGAAGGGTTTTTTTTTCTTTACTGTAAACATATATATATGATTACATTTTAGTAAAAAAATGTAAAATCTTTATTTCCTCATTTTTATTTTTATTTTGTTATGATTGAAAGAGTACAATGGTAATTTGGAGGTGATCTGGCAAAAGACACTCAGCCTGGGCTCTTGACTGGGTTTTGGTTCTCTGGGAACCCCTGAGATTTAGCTACAGCTGCGTGTGTCTGTATGTACAGTTTTCCATCAGATTCCCAAAAGGGTTTAGACCCTGTGCCTAGTTTAACCCTCCCGTGTGGAGACACACAGGGGATGGCTGCAGATCGTGCGGCTGCTCACCGTGCCCACAGCCGCTGTGCGTGCGGGAAAGCTGACGCTGCTGCAGACGTGGCTCAGCCTACACCTTACATGGCCTGTCCCTCTCACAGGAGAGCTCTCTGAAATCGAGGCTGTGAGTGGAAGTCATTTTAAAGGGTCTCCTGCTGAAACCAAGACTGGAGTCAAGCATTCGGATGCTTGATTGTGAATTTCCTTTACTACTTCATTATTTCATTATTTCAAATGTTGGACAATAAGGCTATGAAAGTCAAAATCAGAATTGCTAAAATCTCCCATTCCAGGCTGTACTTTTGAGGTTTGGGTACAAATTTTAAAGCAGACGCTTTCCTCGCATGGCCACAGGTGAAGCCTTTCCCCTGTCCTCTGTTTGCATTGCAGGAGCTCTGTCTGATCCGCTTTCACCCCCTGACAGAGGAAGACGAGGTTGCCTACGATTCTCTCTACTCCTACTTTAGCAGTCGTGGCCGTTTTGGTGTTGTACCTAATAAGACCAGGCACATCAAGAACCTCTACCTCATTCCACTGGGTGCTAAGGACCCTATTCCATCCGCACTGTTGCCCTTTGAGGGACCAGGTAAGCACCAGCTTTCTGGGTGGCAATTACGAGCATGTGATACCCACACGTATTCTCCCCTGACATGGAGTCCTGCTGAGTTGGGATCCTGTACGGGCCCCTCCACTTCCTGGGCTTGTGTCGGGGGCTGGAATCCATCACCCCCAGCATGGCCCAGGCACCGACTGGAGGCCACTCTTAACACCTGGCAGGGGATTGGCTCATGTCAACTTTTTAGAATTAAATTCCCACAGAAGAATTGATTGGTATCAGTATGTACCCCTTGTCCTTGGTTTCTTTTCCCATACATGTGGCTTAATTCTTTTTTTTTTTCCTTTTTACTGACCGGTAACGGGATCGCAACCCTCGGTGTCGCGCCCGTACTGGGGACCAGCAGTGGGATCGCAACCCTTGGTGTTGCACCCGCACCATGCTCAGCCAGTGAGCGGGAACCGGTCTCCACATGGGATCTGAACCCTTGGCGGGAGAGCTGCCGCGCTCCCAAGCAGCGCACTTCTCCAGTGCACCACCGAGCTGGCCCCATGTGGCTTAATTCTAACCACTGAGTCTGAGGCTAGACCTTCCACCATGAACTCAAGGGACACAGACAGACATGGAGCTAAAAAGTCTTCATATACACTGTACATGCTGGTGTTTTGGAGGGCATCGGGTGGGGGTGTCGCCTCTGTGGAAGTGGAAGATGGCACATTTTAACTGCAGCTGGTCTTTCAATATCTGACCTACTTACTTGCTTATTTTCACACACTTTATGAATTGTAAACCTCACATCATCCCTCACATGGGAGGTGGGTAAGAACCATCCTGTGCCCAGCACTACCCAGCTGGTGCCCAGCCTCCCAGGGGGCTGCCTCCTCCCTGCTGCAGCCAGCGTGGCCTTTGCTTCTGCGCTTTCTTGGGACACACACCACGCTCCAGGTTAACACTCATGACACAGGAACTGCCAAAATGGGGTGAACCCAGAGAGTTACCCCTGGGAAATCTGGTCCTCTCTTGCTCCTCCTCTAGATGTGGAGCACAGTTGGGGGTGCTCATGTGACCCTTTGCCCTCATTTGTTTGGTATTGTCATGCTGGACACACCTTACAGCAGTGTAGAGCGTCATTAAATTTGAGGCAAGTTCCTTCATCTCAGTAAACATTGCTTCTAAGGTCCAAGATAGATAAGTGAATTTTATGGTTTCTTCCAGGAATATAAGGTATTTCCAAGGTGCTAGTTATATTTCAAATATTCATGCAACCAGAACATAACATAAATATGTGAGTCAAGTGATAAGATTAGACTATTTCAGGATAGGGGTACACATTTTGGGTCAGGCCTATTTAAATTTAAAATTTTGGGGAAGATTACTGGGGATGTTCAAAACTGTGGAGCTTTACTAGACCATTTCCCAGTGTGTGCAGATGAGACAGGTGAGAGATGAAAGCATCTAAAAAATCACTGCTAATTAGATGCCAATCTCTAGACAGCTCGCTGTTTTCAAGACCAACATAAATATTAAGTAACCTCACCTATGATGAACATGACAACAAAGGTCAAAGCCAGCTTGCCAGGGCTGGGATATACTAATTGTTTTCATCAATAAGCATATTAGGCTATTAAAAGATAGTTGGAGTGAACCACCTTATGAAGTCTGGGGACTGTGTCTTCCTGAGTTTAAGACAATGGTTAACCCAGCACACGCAGTTGATTCATGCAAGAAACTTGATTTGAGCAAGAGCCCTGATGTTAGCCCTTTAGAAGTTGAGCCTTTCCCTGAGTGAGGTAGTCCCTGGTGACATCCGCATGCAAAGACCCCCCAGTCCTTGCTGTCCGGCGCCCCACCCCCACCCCAGCCAAGCCCACTCCTACTTCTGCTCCTGAGACCAAGTTCTGTAGGGAGAGAGCCTGGCTTACAGAGCTGCCCCACAGAGAGAACTGCAGCTGTGACTCAGTAGGTCCGAATGTGCTCAGCAGTTACACCTGTACTGAAGCTCTGGCACCGTCTGCAGCAGAGACACTTGGTCCACAAAGGCCATGATAGCTGATTTAACAATTGACCAAACCCCAAAACTGTGTGTTTAAATTAGCTATAAAGTATTTGGTAAATATCTATTATGGTGAAAGAAGGTAAAATTTGAAGGTAAAATATCCTTAA